CAACATCCTCTTTTGAGGCTCAACATCCTCAACAACCTCTTGATGCCGACGGGTAGAGACACAAGGAAGGAACGGCGGCGACACAAGGAGACACTTTTGAGTTAATGAAGACAGAGGACCCGCCCTCTGCCTGTGCATAAGGAGGGAAAAAGCGTTGAGGTGTCTCAAACACGCTCTCGGTAACATGTGATGAGGTGATTTTGAGGCTGCTCACAAGTCATATGTGGATACGATACACCCACACAGCCTCACCAGCTCCTGTGGCGTGGCACGGCGCAGCGAGAGGGAGAGGAGATGCAGGATGGGCGAGTAGTGAGGTGTGGCGTCCATGACGTAGAGCAGCTGGTACAGCAGACACACGCCTGGTGGGTGGGGGGGAAGGGGTGGAGGGAGGGAGGGGAGGAAGAAGACACAAAGCTTGCATACGTTGGTAGTGTGGCGCAGCGTCCATGATGTAGAGCAGCTGGTACAGCAGACACAGACCTGGTGGTGGGGGGGAAGTGGGGGAACGTGGGGGAAACGGGAAGGAACAAGGCACAGAGCTTACAAAGGTGAGAAGTGCGGCGTGGCGTCCATCACGTAGAGCAGCTGGTGCAGCAGACACACGCCTGGTGGGTGAAGGAGGAGAGGTGGGGGGGAGAGTGAGGGGTAGCGTAAGGTTGGTGGTGAGGTGTGGTGTCCATGACGTAGAGCAGCTGGTACAACAGACACACGCCTGGTAGGGTTGAGGGGGGGAAAGGTTGAGAAAGCGGGGAGGGGGGACAAGAAACGAAAATGCACAAACATTACAACGGTGAGTAGTGCGGCATGGCGTCCATGACGTAAAGCAGCTGGTACAGCAGACACACGCCTGGTGGGGGAGGGGACAGGGAGAGCGGGAGGGGAGGAAAAAGGCAGAGAGGTTACAAAGGTTGACGACGTGATAGGCGACGTGCATTATGCACAGCAGCAGGTAGAGCCGACACAGGCCTGGGGAAGGGGGGGTGAGGGGAGACGGGGAGATCACACCAAAGACAGGGCGTGGCAGGACATGGCATGCGTGGCGTAGAGCAGACACGGGCCTGGTGAGGGGGGAAGAACAGAGAACGAGCACGCTGCGGATGAGGCAAGGGCAGCTAGTAGAGGAAGGAGGAGCGGGACAAAGAGGAATAATTAAAGTGAGTTGGCGTGGTTTGGAAGTGAGTTCTTATAAGTTGCCACCTGCAAATGAGGTGATTTTGTAGGGGCCTCATAAATCGCCCTGAAAGTTGCCACTTGCAAGTGAGGCAAGGCGTGCAATTTGTAAAGCTCTAGCCTACTCCAACTGCACCCCCTCACCTTCATATGGCGCCTGCAGCCAGGGGTAAGCCGCAGCAGCCCCCCTCACCGCCCGTCGCTGCGCCCACCGCAACACTCGCACCACCTGCCGCCACCTCCTGCTGCCCCTTGCACTGCCCCTACTCCTGCTGATACTGCCCGCACCATTCCTCCTTGCAACGTTGCCTCCCGGCACCATCTGCCCTCCGTGCCCGCCCGCTTGCTCCTCCGCTGCTCCCCCCTCCTGCTGTCCGTCCCGCCCTGCACTCGCACGTGCTGCTGCTGCCACACCTTCTTCCGCTCCCCTTCCTCCCCCTGGCGTTTCGTCCCTCAATCCATCAGTCCCCAGCCCATCATCTGACTGTTCGCGCTCATGCAGGGAACCAACAGAGCCCATGCTCCCAGGGCTGCTGCCACTCTCACTGCGCTCTTCACCTCCACTCGCCCCACCATACCCATCCCCTTGCCCATGCCCAAGACCCGAATCCCCCCCATCCCTCCCCGCACCCCACTCCCCCTCCTCCGCTCCCCCCCACCCCTCGTCCGCCCCATCTCCCCCCACCCACAGTGCGCGGGCCTGCCTCTGTCTTTGGTGGGCTGCAAACAGAGAGTGCAGCTTGGTCCGCAGGTAGGGCAGCAGCACCTGGCGTGTGGTAGAGGGTATGGGGTGTAGTTGAGTCGACTTAAAGAGCGGGCCTGCATCTGCCTTTGGCGGGTAGCAAACAGAGCATGCAGCTTGGCGTGCAGGTAGGGCAGCAGCACCTGGTATGTGGTAGAGGGTATGGGGTATATTAGTGGAGAGATGAAAGGGTCGTGGTTGCATTACAACTTATAGCAAACAGAGTGTGCAGCTTGGCGCGCGCAGGTAAGGTAGCAGCACCTGGTATGTGTTGGTTGGAGGGTATGGGGTGTAGTTGAGAGATGAACGGGTAACAAGCATCACAGCTATATGGCACGCAAAGCATGCAGATTAGCGCGCAGGTAGGGCAGGAGAAACAGGAATATAATAAAAGGTACAGGGTGTAGTAGAGAGATGAATGGGTAAGGGTGGGTATTGGTGCAACATAAATCAACCTGTAGAGCAACAGTAGAATTTACCCTCCTCACCCTAACCAGAACATACCCCCTGCATCCCCAACCGAAACCCCTTGACTCTGAATCCCAACCCTAAACGCCAACTGACCAGAAAGAGAAGAGAAAGCGCCCGCTGCTTGCGAGACATGCCATATGATGCTGACCCGCCCTCCTGTCCCCCTGCCGCCCTCTCTCCTCTGCCTGCCCCTTCCGCCCTTCCTGCTGCTGCCTCTGTCCGTAGAGCTGCTTGGCTGGGTGAAGGGCGGTGGGGAACGGTGGAGATGCGGCGAAGGCCATACATGGACTCACCGAATGAGGCGCCTGGGAAGAATAGCAGGGAGGTGACGATGGGGAAGCGGTGGGGAGAGGTGAGTGGGGAAGCGAACAATAGAGATCTGACAGTCATACGTACGGAGGGGGGAGGTAGAGAGGAAGAGTGGTATGGCGATGTGTGATACATGTGACACACTTGGTTTGGTTGGATGTGAAAGTAAGGTGTACATGTCACTACACTGTACTGTGCATATTGAGCGAGTGCCATTCGAGCAGCAGCAGCAGGTTAGAAGAAGACAACAAGAGCTCATAACGAGTACAGAGTGCAGTACCATGCGTGTTGAGAGAATGCCACTCGAGCAGCGCGACAGCAGAGAGCTCATCGCTGTGGTCCAGCACACAAGAGCTAATAACGAGTACAGAGTGCAGTACCATGCGTTTTGAGCGAGTGCCACTCCAGCAGCAGCAGCGCAGCAGCAGAGAGCTCGTCGCTGTGGTCCAGCAGGCGGTGCAGCGACGGGCGGTGCTGTGCCAATACCTGCACGCAGAGAAGAGAAGGGTTGGAAGGGGGCAAGGAAGGAGGAGATGAGTGGGGATTGATATGGCTCTTCATGCACTCGTAGCAGCAGCAGCGAGCTCGTCGCTGTGGTCGAGCAGGCGGTGCAGCGAGGGACGGTGCTGTGCCAAGACCTGTTGAGTGGTTAACAGGAAGAGGGGACAGAAGGGGGAAAGGAAGGGTGGAGGTGGGCACTGAGACAGCTCTTCAAGTCCTCATCGCAGCAGCAGAGAGCTCGTCGCTGTGGTCCAGCAGGCGGTGCAGCGAGCGACGGTGCTGTGCCAATACCTGCCAGGCAAGGTAGGGGAGGAGAGGGGACGGGAAGAGGGCAATGAAGGCAGTGTGCATGCAGCGTACTGGGAGGAATGAGGAGGGGGAGATGACGGGGTCGAGGGAATCTTCATGAGGTTTACAGGGCACGTGGAGAGATCTCATACGTCCCCCTACTCGCCCATGCTCACACAATACGACACATTCAGAAGAGAATCAGAAAATGTTATTTCTACAATTCGGATGCACGCCTGCTCCACCCGCTGGTGACGAGCCATGACCACCCGCCTCGTTCTATGCTGCTCACAACCCTACCCTTCCCATCCCCGCCGCCTTACTTTCGTCCCCGCTTCCCCTCTTCCCCTCCCCTCCCCCTTCCCGCCTCCCCAAGTGGAACTAGGTAACAACAGCTTTCCACGCACCCCTAGGGCGTATAGTGCGGCGGCTTTTAGCGAGGCGGGGAGGAAATCGGCCGCCGCCATCTCGAAGAACGTCGGCCGACTGCCCTCTGCGCCCGCCGCGTGGAACAACATCGTGCGATGTGCGGTGAGATATGCAGCGGGATGTGCGGCGAGGTGTGCGACGTGTTGGAGGTTCACGACGCGACAATAAAGAGTCTAGGAGGGAGCACCGGCGACGGTACTGAACAGGTCAACAGAAGAGGTATCTCCTACCCGTTATCTTTAGGAAAGCTGTCCGCGACTCGTGCTACGACTTGAACAGGTGCCTTTGAAATTGTTGGGGTGGTAACCATATCTCGATGCACTTCGTAAGGGTTCAAAAAGTGCAGAACGAGTCGGTCGGAGAACCAGTATGGTGCATTGCAGCTTATTTGTCTTCCAGTTCGGTTTCGCGTGGTATTCAACATTAACAGAGATTCGAAACTTTCATGAACGTTGTACCTAGCTCCACCGCGCTGAACCCACAAACCCATACAGAAAGCGTTCAAAGTCTAGGCTCCGAACCGAATTTGACCGATCCAAACCTAATATTAACCACTGCTCACACATGTCGAATTTGGGTGCTTTATAAACGAAGATGGCGGACAGCTCGAGACGTGGCTTAATAAGTGAGTCATACTCTAGTGCAGATACCGATGTGCATGCTTCCCGGCGGAAACCATGTCACTGCTGGGCTTAGTATTCTTGTAGGCAACATTCGTGCCGCGTGGCAGCATTGCGGGGCAGGCGCTTTCGGGGAGGCGAAAGTGACACGACGCATCGCGGATTACCCATGTTAGCCGACTATCGCTCCGTACTTTGCTCCATGGCCCCGCGATTTGCTCTCCTTGTTTTGCTCCTCTCCCTCCTCCCCCTCGTGCTCCCGCATTCTATCCGCCTTCCCTCTGCTCCATGCGCCGCGCGGATCGCGGCGCGGAGCCTAGAGGGGCGCGGGGCGCACCGCGTGCTGCGCACGTCGCTCCGCGTGACATGCCGCGCGGACATCCTCCGCCCACGTCATTCAGTCGATGCACACGTGGCGTGCGGAGAAACGTCCGCTACTAGAACGGGGAGTCGCGGGTTAAATGTGAATGACGGAGAGACAGAACGAGGGAGAGCGGTTAGAGGAGATGAGTGGCATACAGATGGGTGCAGAGCGGTACCGGAGCAGCGAGCCGACCTCAGTAGCTGCAATACTGCTGATGAACACATGGGAAGCAGTGGGGCGGCAGGGAGGACACGTGTCACGATACGATTGGAGCAGCCTATTCCACGTGGGCTATTCGCCGATCCGTTTGAGCTGGAGAGAATCGTGCGACCAGGTGTGGGGGCTGGGGGAGCTAGTGGGCGCATGGGATGGTGAGAAGAGGGAGAGAATGGCGCAGATGGAGTGGGCAGCGCAGCTGACGCACAGCTGGAGCGAATCCTGCGACCAGGTGCGGCGGGGGTTGTTGGGCGCGTCAGGGGGGACGGAGGGAGAGAGGGGAAGTGGGGGGAGTGCGCAGTGAAGGCGGGGGAGTGTGCAGTGATGGGAGAAGGGGGAAGAGTGTGCAGTGAGGGGGTGCTGTTGGTGCTGATTATTATTCTGCTTTTGCCTTGAACCTCACCTTTCTGCCTCGTCTCCCTCCTGCCCTCCCTCCCTCCCTCCCTCCCTCTCACCCCTTCTCCCACTCCCCTCCTCCCCCCGTTGCTCCCCGTCCTCCCTCCCTCCCCTCCGAGCCAGCGGGCGACCGAGCCTGAGTGGTAGGTCCGGTGGAGCTGGAGCAGCCGGCACCACGCTGTGAAGCAACAGTGGCACTGATGGAAAGGGATGTGGCATTGGGAGAGGGGGAGCGGAAGGGGGAGGGGGAAATCGCAGGGGGGAAAGTGAAGAAGGGGGAGGGTGCAGGGGACGAGGAGGGGCGGGGGGAGGGGGAATGGGATATGCGAGTGGGGGAAGATGAGGTTGCTTTCTCATTGGAGTTCAGCCTACCTCTGCACTCCCGATACCCGGTAAACCATGCTCGATGCCCTCATACACCCAGCCATGTGTTCCTACTGCCATCCAGGTCAATACCGTTTATCTGCATGTCTGGTAGTGGAACCCCCTTCTGTTGTCACTCTCACCCCCTCACAATCTTTGATACCAGTCTGCTTTGTACACACTGTGAAGCACTTATTGTTTTCAGAGGACACACGTGTTTATAACGTTTTGCAAATCGTGTATTGGAATTTGACTAATGATCCACATCTACTATCTCTCTGTCCTTTTCCTCCTCCCACCATTCTCCCCACCACTTTCTTCCAGGCCGTGCAGCCAGCTCTCTCCCCCCCACTCTCCCCTCTCTCCCTCCTCCGCTCCGCCTCTCACTCACTCCTTCCCCTTGCCTCCCTCCCATGGGACCTGCAACCACTTAAAGCCGCCCTTCACAGCAACCACTCCACTCTCTCCTCTCTCTCACGGGCCATCACCGGCATCTGCAGCCAATCACACGCAGCGGTTTATGTGCCCTTGCCTTCCGCATGCCTCTTGCTCCCTCCTCCCCCCACCTGTGCGGGACCATCCGCCCTGCACCCATCAACACCATCCTCCTCAGCACCAGCGTCGCCATCACCATCAGCATCCACACCATCATCTGAATTACCATCCCCACCATCCTCAGCACCACATTCGCCCTCATCAGCATCAGAATCACCAGCACCAACATCAGCAGCAGTATGTGATGCCGTCACCACACCCCGCTGTGAGTGCCTTCCCATGCGGCTCAGTTGGTCATCACAACCAGCACCTGCAGACGGAAAAACGGACCTGTCGGCGGGAGCAGCAGGGCTGGGAGGAGACTCGGAGGGCGCCGAAGCAGCAGCAGCAGAGGGAAGACGCGACGAGGAGCGGGGGGAGGAGGGGGAGGAAGGGGCGTTGCTGTGGGAGGTGCCGGCGGGGTGTGCTGCCCACACGCCCGTGGTGCTGTGGGGTACGTCCCTAGCTGCTGCTGTGGGGGCTCTGGTGCTTGTTGCCGTGGCTGCTGCTGCTCCAACGCACACAGGAGGCACCAAGGGCAGCAGTTGAGGCATGAAACAAGTGTAGCGGCGTCTCATGTATACTTCACTGCTTCAGTGCACATTGGAGCTATCAAGGTCTGGATATGAGTTGTGAAAAGGCAGGAATGAGAGGATTAGACGAGCAAAGCATTCGCTGCTGCGGCTGTGGGGACGCTGGTGCTATTGTAGTTGCTGTGGCTGCTCCAATGCAGAGAGGAGGAACGAAGATGCAGCATGTGGAACAGGGTAATAGAGCATAGTTGTCCTCCACTTGCTCAATCTATCATGCTCAGCATAGAGCAGGCTGCATTTGTGTCGAATGAGTCCATTCAAGTTGTTTAAGCTCACAAGTGGGTGTTTAGGGTGCGCATGAAGACAGAATGTGTCACACAGTGAGTACCAAGGCTGTTGTTGCCTTTGATTGGACAGTCAATGCTCTTGAATCACCGGCAGCCACTACAGAACCTTCAAAACACAGCATTTTCTTTAACAAGCATTTATTGATTATATAAATGAGGCTAATACAAGATAAGCAAGCACCTAACTGACGTGTCAAGGTATGCTCATGCCAACCATTAGAAGTGCCCTGACCAGAGCCATCCCTCTGGGAGCGCACTGGACCAGAGCCATCCCGTTGGGAGCGCACCGGACTAGAGCCATCCCTCTGGGAACGCACCGGACCAGAGCCATCCCTCTGGGAGCGCACCGGACCAGAGCCATCCCTTAGGGAGCGCACCGGACCAGAGCCATCCCTCTGGGAGCGCACTGGACCAGAGCCATCCCTTAGGGAGCGCACCGTACCCATGCCATCCCTCTGGGAGCGCACCGGGCCAGAGCCATCCCTCTGGGAGCGCACCGGACCAGAGCCATCCCTTCGGGAGCGCCACGGGCCTGAGCCATCCCTTGGGTGCCCACTGGGCTTGATGCCAACCTGAAGGAGCACACTGAAAGCACAACCACAGCTGAATGGCAGCAGATGATCATCCTTCCAACCCCCACCAATTCCCAACCCACTCTCCCGAACACCCTGACAAGCAGGGTGCAAAAAAGGGACCCACCATCATCCCACTTCCCCAACCTCCAACCATCTCCCCGCTGCTGCAATCTGCTCGAGGCTCTGCTCTTGTGTACTCCACCTTCATCCCGCCGGAGTATTCCTTTGGTGCTTCTCAGCCTTTTTTGAAGCGTTAGCCTTTTTTTTTTTAACCAGGAGGAAATCAGGTCCCCGTTCCCACGGGGATCCTCTGGGAGGTTCCCCAAGGAAGGTCCCCTTTCTCATGTGACTCGGGTGCAGTGTTGGTAGATCAGCTCAGCACGTAGGAAGTTGAAGCTTGCAGCGAGTCACAGCAGCGCTTACGGCCGCCACGGACGACGTGAGCTCGCAGCCAGCACCACCTTGGACGACGGTACAGCACGAACCTTCTTCACTGCAGCCGCGGGAATTGCAACACTTTTGTCGTCAGGCTGCTTCGCGCCATTTGAACTCCTTCTGCTTCGCACCTGCCTCTCAGCTGCAGCAGGCCGTGGAATCAACGTCGTCCCCTCCACGCGGCTTTTCACGATCGATCTCTGGCCGCTTGGTTTGGGGATGCGAGACGGCACCAGGTGTGGCGTAGGTACTGAGCTTGTCGTTGCCTTCCCCAATCCAGATGCTACGGCCGTCAGGGAATCTTCAGCCGGCGGTAGCGATGATGCAGATTGCGACGTCACCGATTCCGACAACACCGACTCGCATGTCAATGGTTCTGACGTAGCTGGCTCCGAAATCTCCGGTTCTGACGTCATCGAATAGGACATCATTGGTTCCGACGTCACAGCCGGTACATACGCCACCGGATCTGGAGATGACGAAGCGGATGCGGTCGGATCCCATGTCGGGGAGTCGTGCGTCAGCGATGCCGCAGCGTCGACCAGACATGCTTCACTGCGGCTGGCGTCGCCGACGCTCTCAGTGTTGGTGTCAGCGCAGGAGAGCACCACGTCGCTGGCCTCGCTGCAGCAGGGCGTCAGGCTGGGGCTGCTAACCTGGCGGAGTTTGCTCGCGTTGGAGGAGCTCCGAGGCTGCAGCGATGGTTGCGTCGGCTTATTGCTATCGAGGCACTTCCAGAAGCTAAAAGCGTTGTTGAAGTACGACGGGTAGTCAGACTCTGAGGCCATAGTGCAGATTCTTCACGAGATTAGCAAACGTTGAGAGTTGATATGTATGCTAGAACTGATGCGCAAGCTATGATGATTGCATAAATGCTGTGTGTGCAGATTTGTAGGTTGTATTGTCGATAGGGGAATGGAGGGGTTGGAGGTGAAAAGGTTCCTCTGGCTTGTCGGGAAGGAGGGCTGCTCAGGCTCGGAAGCAGGGTTTGTCAGGCTCGGGAGCGAGATTGGCGCGAGGTGTTCTCGAGACCCCGACCTGCCGAATTCTGTGCTCATCTGCCCACGCAAAAATAATGTGGCTGCCCGTGTTCGAATCTGGGCTTGCGCTGCTGCCACAGACTCCTTGCTGGAATCCAGCGCGCGAGCATGTCGGGTTACTGCCCACAAGCATTTTGAAGGCTTCCCTGAACAATGTTTGAACGAACCGGAAAACATTTTTTGACCGCGCTGTGCCAAGGCGGGGTCGGCGAAAATGAGCTTGCAATGAGCGACAACCTCGGGGGAAGCCAGTCAGCACCAGTGTTTGACTGGGAATGCTGGTTAACCATACTCACGACCTTTCTACATCTGAATACCGTAGTGGATTTCCCCAATACATGTAGCCCCGATAGCTTCGCGTATGAAACTTGCCATGAACTTTGATGCCGAGCCTCCTCATCTCGCTACTGCGCGAAGGCCAAAATCATGTAGAGGCTTTGGATTAGTGCTACTACACTTTTCAGGATATTTGAACAAGTGTAGGTGATGTGATGGATGGAGTGGGTGATGCTAACTAGCAACCATTATTGCATATCACTATCAATGGAATGAATGTGTAGATTGGGTTCAACTAGGATTGGAACACCGGCATACATACCTACGTATATAGAAAACCATACCCTATTCCATTTACCGTAGCATACAGAAATCAGATCAGAGTTCCAACACCTCACTAGAGAGTAGGCTGCAGTGACAAAACATGTTCGATTTAACAGTTCCAATAAATATTGCACTGCAGCTATGAGCACCTGTTGCTTTAACCACTAGCTCCTGAAACCATTTCCGAGGAGCAACATTTAAGCATGCCAAATGGCAAGCAGGTATGTGAGGTGTGGGAGAAACCATGTACACATTCTCCGATTCTGGGCCTGTGCCGGAAGCTCTTGGAACTGTTACACCCACTCCAGCTTTGTCGTTGTCCACCCACTCTGCCTCTCTTTGAAACACCATCCCTTCACACCTTATTCCTCGGTATCATTTCTTGACTCACCTACCGTGCTCTGCCTCAGCTCAACCACTCTACACCTTCCGGTGCTCCGTCGCTTGGCATCCACCACTCCTTGGCTCCTCTTCCTCCTCCTCCCTCCTCCCTCTACACCTTGCAGTGCATGAACCTCACGACCAGCACCAGAGCAGTGACACCTTCAACACCTTCAGCACCAGCACCAGAGCAGAGCAGTGATACCCAGCCCCATTCCTTGACCCCCCGTATCATCCAGTCCCTGTGTCCCCTTCGCCCTCCCCCATTCTCTCCTTCCCCCCTCTTCCCTCTACTGCCTCTCCAAAAACCACTTTACACCTTCCTGCGTGTTGAACCCCATGACCAGAGCAGTGACCTCATCAGCATACCCTTTCACTCCCCCCTCTATGCTCCCCGCCGCCACCACCACCCCTATCGCCTCAACTCAACCGCTCTACACCTTCCTGTGTGTGAACCCCACGACTAGAGCAGTGATATCATCAACATACCCCGCCCCATCTTTCGTCAGCCATCTCTCCTTAGCCAAGGCCAGCAGCGCCTTCACTCCCGCCTCTATGCTCCCCGCCGCCACCACCACCCCGATCGCCTCGTCATCCCCCACATACTCCCACAGCCCATCTGAACCAAGCACCAGAAAGGCGTCTGATTGGTCGAGACGATGCACGACCACCTGTGAGGGAGGGGAGGGTAGGGGTCAGAGGGGGGATTCAAGGGGTAAGGAGGACATAATGAGATGTGGAGTCTGGTTTCCAGAGAGGAGGGATTGGTTGGAGATAAGGGTGGAGTTGAGAAGGGAAGGAAGATATGCTCCCCCCCCGCCACCACCACCCCGATCGCCTCGTCGTCCCCCACATACTCCCACAGGCCGTCTGAACCAAGCACCAGAAAGGCGTCTGATTGGTCGAGACGACGCACGACCACCTGTGAGGGAGGAGAGGGGAGGGGAGGGGAGCAGAGTGGGGAGGGGACAGAGGGAGGGCTCAGATGGGGTGAGAAAAGCCAGGATGAGATGTAGAGCATGGCTTGTAGAGTGACAGGGTTGGGGGATAGGGTAGGGCAGGGTTGAGGGGGTATAAGGAGGGCATGCTCCCCCCCGCCACCACCACCCCAATCGCCTCGTCATCCCCAACATGCTCCCACAGGCCGTTTAACCCGAGCACCAGGAAGACGTCTGATTGGTCGAGACGACACACGACCACCTGTGAGGGAAGAGAGAGGAGGGGAGGGGAGGGGCGTGGCCTGAGGAGATCGGGAGGGATCAGGAAGTGCAAGGACGAAATACTCCATACATGCGAGAAGACACATGAAGTGCTTACCTCAGGGGTGGAATAGACCCCATCCGTGTGCACAAGTTTATCCCCCAGGCTGCGACTCGTAGCTAGGCCCAGCATGGGGTGATATAGTACAGCAAGGTACACACTCCGTGTAGGTAGCGGACGCATTGAGTGGGTGGGAGCATACCTCAGGAGTGGCGGAGACCCCAACAGTGTGAGCCAGTTTATCCCCCAGGCTGCGACTCATGGCCAGGCCAAGCATGGGACCCGTCTTCATCCACACTCGGAACGGGCCCACATCGTCCCCATTCTCGTCCACATCCCTGCCATGAAACACGTGTCATGAATGCAAGTATACATCAGGTTATTCTCTGCATGGCATTGTCTTCGACACACCAGGCCCAGCACATGACCCCTCTCATCCTCACTCCGGCAGAGCCCCATGCCATCCCCATTCTCGTCCATATCCCTGCATGATGCACGTTGCACAATGCTTATTGGAACGCTTGTCATGTCACCACATGCAATGCCAGGCCCAGCATGGGATGGTCGCATGGCAAGCATATGGCATCTGTGGCACCAAGCTGAGCATGGGGCTACCTCTGTCCACAATGTATGTGGTATATGAACTGGCAGTAATCCCGACAGTACACCTGACTGTACGCCAGACAGCAAGATCTTGGCAATAAACAGACAATACACCACTCTGCGCACTCACTGCTGCACACTGCCTTCACTGGCCTCTATCCGCGCCCTCTCCTCATCGTTGTTGGGCTTGTGGTCTGCTGACAGCCGCACCGCCATCAGGTCATCCCGCTCTGTGGCAGGAAAGGGGGGGATTGGGTGGGTGGGGGGGAGAGGGAAGAGAGAGGCGGAAAGGGGTGGTGCTTGACGTGAGGGGCTTGTGGTCCACTGATAGCCGCACTGCTGTCAGGTCATCTCGCTCTGTGGCAGGCGAGGGGGAGCGGAGAGGGGGAAACGGAAGTGGAAAGGAAGGAATGGGAACTTGGAGAGAAGAGAGCTGTGGTCCGCTGATAGCCGCACCGCCCTCAGGTCATCCACGCCAGCTGCTGCTGAAGAGCCCCCCATCCCATCATCTCTCGTTTCCCACCTGTTCATCCACCATTCTCCGCCTCTCAGCATCCCCTTCCCTTTTGCTCACCTCCGCCCTCTCGTCTCCGTGCCAGCACAGCTCTTGAGTCCCCGACCCACGCCACAGCCAGCCGCTGCTTGTAGAGGTGAGCTACCACCGCCGTGGTGCCACTTATGTTGCAATTGAACGAGGCTGTAAGGGGTATGAAACGGAGAGAGGCGTGTAAGGGGAACAATTTGTACAGATACATTACAACTACTGTGGTGCCTGCTGCTTATGCTGCAGTGAAGGAAGACCATAAGGGGTAGGAGCAGGTGGAAGAAAACAAAAATACTCGTACAGATGGCTACTACCACTGCTGCGGAGCGGACCTGTGGTGCCTGCTTCTTATGCTCGTTGTTGGACATCTTCCAGTGAGCAGCGGCACTTAGGTTTAGGCTAGAGCAAGTAGGAAAAAACAGTGAAATCTTAACACTGGCTACTAGTCAAGAGCTTGTAAAACCGAAAACCTAAGTGCCGCTGCTCACTGGAAGATGTCCAATGATCTGCTGCGGAGCGGACCTGTGGTGCCTGCTTCTTATGCTGCAGTGGATCGCCCTTTTCACTTTCTTTCTGTAATCTCCTGGTTTTCTTTCCTCCTCATCCTCTCTGGTAACTCCTTCGCTTCTTCCCCTCCCCTCACTCCCTGTTACCCCTTCACAGCTTCCTCTCACCCACACACTTTGCCCCCGCTGCAACTTGTGTTATAGAACGCACAGGAGTTTGGGAATAACTCGAATTTCCACTCCCACCCACTTCCTTTCAGGCATGCTGCATTGCATTTCACACCACTCTCACCACTCTCAGCGCTCAACCATGCTCAACAATTCCCACACCCACCTCCACTCACTCTTCTCTCCTCCACCCTCCTCTCTCACACCCCACCCCAAACCCAGTCACTCTCCTATCCCCACACCCTCCCACTCCCCCCCCACTCACTCTCCTCAAGTGCCGCATCGTGAACCGCCAAAAAGCCATCCGTTAGGGCCTTCTCGGGGTCCACGAGAAGATCTGAGCCTTCCATCAGAATCTCTGGAAGCCGTTCCTGGTGTCATGGGGAAGTGGTAGCAAGCAGGTCATGGTAAGATGAGGAGAAAGGGTACCGGGTATGGGTGATGGGAAGGGATGTGCTGTGTGGGGGGTGACACAGCATGGTGGCATGACAAGGCATGCCGAAAGGGGAGGGATTGGAGGTTGGCAAGGATTGGGAGGTCAAACGAATAAAAAACTATGTAACATGAGTTACATGTTACCTAAGTCATGTATATAGAGCAAATTTACATCATTAGGGGCGTGCACAGGGAGACTGAAGGTTTGTGGGAGGAGTCATCAGCAAGGAGGGAAGAGGGGAATTTACCTTGATAAACTTGGAGACGTCATGTCCTTGTGGCCCATGGCCATCAAAGACGCCAAAGATGAGCGATCTGCACAACCGAGGTGCGGTAGGGGTGGTGGTTGTTATTTTTTTGTCTGAGGAACTAGCTGTTTTTCTAGTAGTGGATTTTTAGTTGTTGGTATATACATACTTGTTTATCGAAGTTCGCAAGAAGCAAAACACGAGTGCACTCACTTTTTGTCTTTCGTGCGCATGAAACAGTACGCGTCCTGGTTCGTCTTATGAAACCCGTCCTGCTGCCCCGCCGATGACATGCACGCCACGCGACACACCACGGGCTCGTCAGGAGCCGGCGACGACGATCGCGACGACGGACGAGACGACGGTCGCGAGCCAGGCCGCGACGACGGTCGCGACGAGCTCCGCGAGGAGCCTGCCGCGCGGGAACCGCTCGACGCGGGGGAAGCGGAGGCGCCGGAAGCGGCGGGGCCGCCAGCGGTGGGCGGTTTGCCGTCGGACGAGGTTGCGTTAGTATCGGCGGTGGTGGCGGGGACTGCCGCGGCAGGTGCGGCGTCGTCGGTTGTCGTGGCGGGTGCTGCTGCTGCGAGTGACGCGGCGATCGCAGCAGCAGCGGCAGCGGCAGCATCAGAGGCAACGGTGTCAGACTCTACTAGCTCGGGCCGCCGCGGCGAGCCTGGCGCAACCTCTGCGGGCGCATCTGGTGTTACGGTTCCGCCTGCGCTGCTCACTCGGTCCGCGGCTTGCGCCTCATTTTCTGGCTCCACCATTGCCCCCGGCCCGGCTCCGCCTGTCACTCCGCTCACCGCGTCCCCCGCTTCTGCGCTCTCCACGCCCCCCTCAGCCTCCTGACTCCCCGCACTCTGCGCAACACTTTCCGCCCCCTCATCCGCTGCGGCGACCTTTTCCGCCGCCGCTGCGGTCCCGATTCCCACGGCTGCAACGTCCGCGCTACAGTGTGCCTCGGAGTCACTGATAGACACGGATTCCACTGCAGCGGAGGATGGCTCGCTGTTGGTAAGCGCGGGGCACGGAGAATCTTTTAGCTGCTCTGATTGGCTGTCGGACTGATCGGAATCAGCTGCAGTCACCATGTCTGGCGCGTTCTGTGCGTTCTTACTGTGACTGTTTCGCTGACATTGCGTCCCGTCATCTCCTGCCTGCTTTCGCGGTTCCAACGCGGAAAGGAGCAGGGAGCGAGTGCGACAGAACGAGCGAGAAGAGGAAGATGAATGACATTTGTAGACGAACGAAACGGGACGAAGGGTGAAGGACATGTGCAATCAAGGTGATGGAATACAATAATGAATTAACGGTAGTTGAGTCAGAAGGATGCGGAAAGGTAGGAGTTTTGTAAGATCACAGTCATGAAGCAGCGGTAGACTTGGCGTGGATACTCTACCTTGCTGCAGGAGCACGGACTATCGAGCCGAGCTGGCTCGTCCGAGACGGACGACTCAGGAGCACTCATGCTACAACCGGAAGTGAACAGCGAACAAGAGCTACTTGTAAACCAGTGCGAAGAGGAGTAACAAACGGGACTAGTGGAAGGCTACCGCACAATGCGGGCTGAAAATCATGGATCAATAACCGCTCGATAGCAAAACTACAGTGTCGTCGGAGCGCGGGAGTTCGTTGTGAGGCCCAACCAACCAAAGCAAGCTGCAATTCACTTCGTGTAGAAGAGGCAGTTGGAGAAAGGTGAGGAGGGATAGGAGGAGGCTGGTTTGCCTGCATGATTTGATGGATGGGTTGAAGAGCCGTGAGGCAGAGTGGGTTGGTGAGGCGAGCTGTGGTGGGATCCTCTGGTGTGAAAGTTTGATGCGGTTGGGTGAGATTTTCAGCTCTGCATTGCGTTTCGATTGGGTGTTTTCACATTCAAAATCTCACCGCTATGACACACCTCCTGAGAGGAAGGGCACCCTTTCATACCAGTCAACGATGTGATTGCAAAGGGCGGTATCTGCTGATGTGGCACCGACATCTCAGTCTCCTTCAAAATCTGCTGATGTAGGACAGGACCTCACGTCATCGTCGTGCTGGAATTATCTTTTCGAGATTCACACCAGGAGCAGATTACACGATGAGAAATTTGTCCAATTATTGTCCTGGAACACGATGGCTCTATAACCAGGTGCGATCCTAGCGAGGATAGATCAAAGCTCCACATCTCCATGTCCTGAAACTGCTATGCCCAGAAGCATATCTGCAACATTTGGACCAGTGTTCCGTCACCGTGGCTCACACATCTTGTAATGAATACACAATTCATTACTGTAGAGGCTGCTTCTAGCGAGGACAGCCCGAGCACTTCGCGTCAGGATGGCTCGGCCTACACTTTCGCACCGAGCCAATACCGAGTCGCCCCGCACCAATCGCGACATTTCCGAGCCACGCACACCTAGAGGTTCTCGCCTAGCTAGTTTTTGCCCTATAGATGCTCGTTTCCTTCATTGTTTCCTGAGCTGTAATCACAGTCTCTTCATAGAAGTCTTTCGCGCACTCTGTTTAGTAAAACTCATGACACTTCTCCTCGCCCAGTAGTAGCTATGACAATGCCGTCTAAGCTCTTTGTTGGTGGACTACCATGGCAAACCACATCCGACGATCTGGTTGCGTACTTCCAACAGTACGGAAGCGTCATTGAAGCAGGCTAGTGTCATCCCAACGGCATGCCATCTTTCCTCCTGTTCCCACGATTTTACAGTACAACCCGTTCCTTGTAATGCAGTTGTCGTAAAAGATCAAGCGACAGGAAGGTCGAGAGGGTTCGGGTTTGTCACCTTTCTTGAGCCGTCTTCCGTAGCCAAGGCGGTGACAGCTCCTCCTCACACCATCTTTGGACGGTAATCACCGTCGCCGGTTTAGTATTTCCATTTCCAACCAGGTATTTCACTCACTGCCGATTCCAGGCTAGTGGAAGTCAAGGAGCCAGAACCACGCGGAAAACAAGTCGTGTTGAGACCAGTAAGGACGGAACCATTGAAAAATGAGAACTTAAAGAAGCCGTCGAAGCTTTCATGAGGCAGGATTAAGAAAAGCAGTTGATTATGTGAACAGGAAAACGGCCCAAGAACGCGAAAGCTTTTTGTTGGAGGTCTTCCGCCTTCCATGACTGACGAAGAGTTTACCTCCTACTTCGCTCGATTCGGAACCGTATGTTGTAGCACCTACATCTGTGATCGTGAGTTCATGCATCACAACATGTTCATGCATGATGCCAGATCACAGAGATTCAAGTGCTTCGCGACGAAGATGAGAAGGCCCGATGCAGGGGATTTGGGTTTGTTACTTTCCAGGCAGAGCAGGCAGCCGAGGATGTGCTCCTTATTGGAAGGTGAGTGTATGTCACGCATGGTTAATCGTTGTCTGGGCTGTGATTATGTACCATTGTGCAACCCGCTGTCACTTTCTTGCAGAATGCACGAGATCTGTGGGAAGATGGTGGAAGTGAAAAAGGCACAACCACGGAAGGACATGGCAAAATTAAATGGCAGATGGCTGTGAAGAACAATGATCAACATCCCACTAGTATTTGGGAAGAGTCAAAGCATGAATGCCACCAACGTCTGCTGCTCTTCTAGCTCTGTTGTTGCTCTCACAACACGCCTGCTGCTCATGAAGTTACGTTCACAACCAATCAATACCGTACCCCACATATTATTTGCAACTGCATACATTAACGTGGCCTGGCTACAGACAAGAGACTCTTCAAAACCCTTTTCACCTCCTAACGCTAATGAACCGCATTGATTCACTTCCCCTCAAAACCTGTAAGGCGAGCAAGTTCATCAAGGTCTTGTTCTCCTGGCAAAACCTGCAGAATTGCCCATAGGAGGATGCAGGGCAAGATGGAACACAATTTCAGAGACATGACCAGAAAAGTGGAAGCTGGGAGAACCAACAGACGGATGCCATTATGCATGCAAAGCCACCTATAACCACAAGCAGGTAACGCTGCTCCTTCAAGCCCTAGCCAAACATTTGAACAATCGAGTCAACGTGTGTGTGTCAATAAAGAGAGCTCACCTGGCCATCAATGATCCATGTTGGGAAGCCTTCAATATTGGCATCCTGGCAAGTTTTAGCAAGCTTCACTCCTGCCCTGAAGCCCTCTGGATAGCACTCCACGTACGGAAGGTACTTGGAAGCTTCTGCTCCAAACGCCTGCAACTCACAGGACACCAAGGACAAGAATAATCATCTCCTCAGCTTGTTTACACAACCATACATTCATGTTTACGAAAACGAGTCAAATGCAATCACCCACCTGCTTCTGCTCGTAGCAGTGCGAGCACCAAAAGGCACCATACAGCTTCGCCCCAACATTCGACAGATGCTTGGCCAATTGCACGCGCACAGGTGTCGAAACAGTGGTGACCTCTGGTTCAATAGCAGCAAGGTCAATCTCGGTGTCCCTGAGCATGTGATATATAATTTCACGACAAGATGACGAGACGAAAACACAGGAAATACCTTTTTTGGAAGGGAGAGAGGACGAGAGAAGGGAAGAGGAGGTCAGGATTATTGGCCAATCACAAGACGACGGGTAGAAGTGCTGATATGCTTTGAAGACGTACAAGTTGCAAGCCAAGAAATGACAGGCAAAACGGAGCAGGGTGAATAGAGACTCATGGAGGCCATGCCACACTCAAAAGACCCACCGAGCATAGGCGGACCTGACATCAGCAAAGGAGAGGGAGAGAGCCACGGCAGTTGCCGTCACCAGGGCTAGCTGGGGCAGCAGCGCCTGCTGCAACTCACGCCATGAGAATGACTGGTGGGGGAAGGGGGACACAGGAGGGAGGGTCAGTACACGAAGAGCAGAAAGGAGGAGGCATGAAAATCAAAGAGAGGGAGAGAACCACGGCAGTTGCTGTAACCAGGGCTAGCTGGGGCAGCAGCGCCTGCTGTAGTTCACGCCATGAAAAGGACTGGTGGGGGAAGGGGAGGGGGAGGGCATGGGAGGGAGGGGCGGTGCAGGAGGGATGGAGGCACAGAAAGACAAGCAAAGAGGAGGCATGTGAGCAAACAGAAGGGGAAATTTATTGGCGGTTTAAGGATTGCAATGAAGACTTTCAACCTGGATCTGCAGTCGATGTGGCATACACACTTTTGACAAATCACGTGACCAATTGAGAATGAAGGGTGAGGGCTTTATAGGACAGTAAAAGGCCTACCTGAACAGCCCTATTCACGTTTTCAATAATAGACCCACCTTCACTGTGAGGGCAAACAGCAACGTGGACAGAGTAGCTGAGGTGACGCAATAGAGACAAAACGCGCCGTCCAGCTCAGTAGCGAGGATGAACATGAGATAGCCGCTGGTGGTGGTCATGGCAGCCGTGAGAGAGAGCAGCAGCCAGCGTGCAGTGGAGGAGAGAGTGGAGGCCTCGAGAGGGGTTTGAGGAGAGGAGGGCCGGGAGAGGTGGGTGAGGAGGGCGACAGTGGAGTAGGCAGCAAAGCCGAAGACTGGGAGGGGGATGCCTGTGGGGACGGGAGGGGGTTGGAAGAAATGGATTAGAAACGAATGCGATGAGGAGGTGGGAGAGGGCTGTAAAATCTAAAGATAGAGAGGAAGAAAGGTGCCTGCAGTTTAGGGACGTCTCAGAACAAGGCAGTGAGATGCATAGGGTTGGATGGAGTGGGGGAAGGGAGGAGGAGGTGGGGAATTGGGGGGGGAAGGTGCAAACGGAGAGGGCGTGGTGGTGTGTGTGAGCTGCATAATAGAGAGCACTGGGAGTTGGTGTATACAGGACCACTAGGGTGACGAAAAACTGCATGGAGAACGGGGAGAGGGGAAAACACAGGATGGGGGCAAGCAGGAGGGGGGAAAATGGAAGAGGGGGGAAAATGGAGGAGGGGGGAAAATGGAGGAGCGGGAGAGAGGCAGGAGGGTGGATGACAGAAGAGTGAGAGGGGTTGTTGAGGTCGCTATAAAATGTGCAGGAAGAGGATACACACATAGGGCCCAACTGACGTACCGAAGAGGGAGGCGTATGGGCTGTTGAGCACGTCAGTGCATGACTCGTTAATGGGACAAGCCACCTGCCCCCCCGCCAGCTTCTCAAAAGAGAGGTACAGTGTTTCTGCTGCTCCCACTAAAGACAGACCAAGTAGCGGCACATAAGGCACACTGCTGCTGCTGCTGCTTGGCGCTGACGTGGACAAAGATGGAGACGAGCGAATGCTGACGTCATCGTCGCTTGGTCCTGACTCCCTGTCGCTGGGAGCAGGCGGAGGCGATTCGCCAGTGGCTCGCACCGCGATCCGCGGATCACGGCGATAGGAGCGTGTAATGCGCGTTGACGAAGCTTGCGAGAGGCGAGGCTGCAGCGGAAATGGAGGAACCGGGGCGAGGGGGGGAAAGGGGGGTGAAGGAGAGGGGAGTATGGGGGAGAAAGAGGGAGGAGAGGGGGAAGCGGGGGGGGGGGGGGGGGGGGGGGGGGGAGAGGGAAAGAGAAGAGGGATCGCGGGGGCGCGAAGGGGTAAGTGAAAGAGGGTAAATTCCGAGGATCGGGAAACGCGTAAGCGTGTTTGAAGATGCCACGTGGGAGAGTAAAACCAAGCCAAATGAAACCATGAGACCGAAGGCCTGCGGAAATGATAGCAATGCAGGAGGAGGGAGAGGCGAGGAAGCATTGCGGCGTTCATGAGCCAATGTGGAGCACACGCGTCGGAAGAATGCTCAGGACGAATTAACAGGACTACAGACCACGAGGAACTAGACAAGTAAGAAGAAGAATGAGGGAAGAAGAAGAAGAAATCGCTTGAGAACAGATGCGCGGCGTGCAGGAAACGTCAAGCTTGCAACCGACGCGGATAGAGACGTCTGCGATGAGCTCTTATCGAATTAACGTTGAAACAAATCGGCACTCTCGCGGCACCTACGGCGATCTCGCAGCGCAACCACGCGAAACCGATGTATATCCTACTGTACCGAGCCATCTAGCGGCTGGGCATATGCCATAACCCGTTGTGGCTGTTGGCCCGAAAAATCATTCGAGTCGCTCACCAACGGCGCTAGAAGACTCAGGCTCCGCTTAGCAGACACGTCTGATCGGCGCGCAATAAACGGACAACCGGCCGCGAAGCGAACGGCGTCGACTGAAGCGGCGGCCATCGCCATTGCGTGGAATGAGGAAAATAAAGTCGACTACTGCTGGTGCAGAAGCATGAATGGAGTTATCTAGAAAACAGGGCGAGGGGAAGGGAGGGGGGGGACTGAGAACACGCTGGGAATCAATCCTGGGGAGCAGCTGGACGTGCCTTGAGGATCGACCCGAATTTTGATGCCTGGTTCATCAACGGTGGTACGTGATTCGTTTCAAGAGCTTCGCCGCGGACCACGTGCGCGTTTCATGAAATTTCATACACATGGTTGAATTTCAAACACATGGTTGAAATGTCATGGTTTCATAAAATTTCTTACACATGGTCGTCCACAAAAGTTGCTTCAGACAATGTATCATGTACCCGCCCTTTTTTTTTTTTGAAAATAGCAGCACATTCCGTGACATGATGGGATGAAGCATACGAAGGCCTTGACCACGTCCTAGTCAGAGGCTCGTCCGGTTCAAGATTGGGTCAGATGGGTCAGATAATTTGGAGTGTGACGTCAGTCAGGGACCACATGACTAGCCTTGGAAGTTCTGTCGAACATGATCATTCATCAACAAAATGATACCAACCCCTTCCCCGGCACTCATAACTCAGCATTTTTATTCGGGAGAAATCCTAGTCCTGACACGACCTGTCCTTGCGCCAGCGAATAATTCTCGCAAACTTGGCGCGTTCCCGTGGTCGCATTGATTTTCCAGGAAATCGCCATGGCTTCTGGCGACAAGCTTTCGGCCATCTCAAAGTTGAAGTCTGCAGAGTTGTTAGAGCTTATGAATACTTACCTGCAGACCCCGGCAGGCGATGACCTGAAGGATAAGATTGGACTTGTTTACCAGTTCAACATTTCCCCCAAGGTCGCAACGAATATACCCAGAATTCGCGTGTGATTGCGATATCAGAATTCTGACGTTCTTCTGTTTTTAACTACAGAAGATTGGAATCAACGAAGAGAAGTTTACGGTGGATTTGAAGTCCAAGAAGGTCACGGCAGGTGAGACATTGGTCATATGCTCCTCACAGCTCTCACCATTTCCTCCCTGACGTCCGTTGTGCCTTTAATGCAGGCGTGTATGAAGGGAAACCTGACGCAATGTTCTCTTTCATTGATGCTGACTTTGTTTCTGTCGCTACTGGCAAGCTAAATCCGCAAATGGCGTTCATCAGGTAAGTTCCAACGGCTTCATCCTTGGTCAGTTTTGTCTCAATGGATGCCTATTCGAAAGCCTGAGGTAATTTTGTTCTTTGCTTGGTGGTGGATGCCAGAGGGAAGATGCGGATAAAGGGAAGTATGAAAGCTGCTCAAAAGTTCACTCCTGACATTTTTCCTAAGCCGTCGAAGCTGTAGCTCCTCCATTCAACTCTCAAAGAATCACGAGTCTGGAGGTTCTTTTAGGTTCTGGAGTCTTCAAATGTAGCAACAATGGCTGATTCGTTTCCTCTTCACTATGATACCAGTAGATGTCAACTCATCTGTGTTGTGCAATTGGTAAGGTTACGTTTAATGGCATTTATCCGTCAGTGTACCATAGGTGTCTGACACATAAGCAAGCTGTGGACATTCTATAAGAGAAGTATTCACTGATACCGCTTTTCAGACACACCAATTTGTTCATAGGAAAGTAACATTGCTCGCACTTCAGGAGTTTACTCCAGACAGGAAAGTGTAGCCCACTAAGCTTGATTTTTCTCCGCAAGGTAATGGTCCAGCATGTCGTCCTCGTCAATGTCTGCACACATCCACCCATTCCCGCACATCCATGCACCAAGAATGAACACAGGAAGGGACAATTGTAAGCACATGTCTGCGAGCTGCTATACACGTGCGCACATGCACATGCACCCATCGACACACACAACACCCCCAGCCATGTGCACACACCATGTACAATGTACCACATACTTATACCATGCACCATGCACCAAGAATCATGGTATGCACCACATACCATGTACACACTACCACCCATGCAGAAGCAGAGAGATATGCAAAACAGCCAACTATCCAGTCAACCTCCTCCGATGTGCCTACTATCCAGTCAACCTCCTCTTTCCCTTCACTAACCTTTCTCTACCATTCCACCTGTCCCACGCCTAACGCATACTTTCTTCCCCCCTCCCACCTGTCCGATCCCCTCAAAACCCAACCCCCCTCCACCCTGACTCCAAACCCTCCATCCTTCTAGCAATCTACATTGCTGAAACTTAAATCCTCTTCCATCTCCATTGCACCGCAACCCTGAACCTTTCAACCTCTCAACCTCTCACCCCATCCAACTCACCTTCGTCAAAATCGTCATCATCAAAATCAATCTCCTCTTCCTCTTCCTCCTCCGCCTCCTCCTCATCCACCGCAATTCCCTTGCTTGCTTTCTGCACGCACATGCAAGGAACCCAAGGAAGGTGGGAAGAAAGTGAGATTTGGCCAAAGCCTTTCTTACCTACACAATAACAAACACCACCCTGACCTGAACAGTAGCGGACACCACTCTCACCTAACCAGAAATGAACCATGCTCGCCTCACCTCCATGAACCAGAAACCACGCTCACCTGCACGAACCACTGTCTGCCTGTAAGCCGCTTCTCCTTGGATGCTGCGAGTGCTGCATCTGACAGCAACCTATTTTAGGAGGCGGCGGGAGTCAAGGGCGGGGACAGTGAGGGGGAACAGCGGCCAAAGAGGGGGTGCAAGGACAGGGCAGCAATGAAAGTAAAGAACGACTACTCGAGTTCCATCCCTGCCTCCAATGGCTTCTGTGAACTGCTGCTGCTTTCGACTGCTGCTGTCTGCTGTTGACTGCAGTTGATCACAATTGACCTCACTAGATGTTGGTGACTGCAATTGACCACTGCTAAATGCAATTGGCTGCTGCTAACTGTAATTGACCGCAATGGACTCTAACAGATAGAGATCTCACTTGGCCTTCTCCAGGGCAATCTCTGCCTCAAACCAATCACGCCACTCCATGAATTTATGTGGTTAACCGCAATTGACTGCAGTTGACTGGTGTAGACTGCTGCTGACTGCAATCTACTGCAATTGACTCTAACAAGCGGAGATCTCACTTGGCCTTCTCCAGGGCAATCTCGGCTTCAAACCGATCGCGCCACTCCGTGAATGTCTCCACTCTCACTGAAAGTGACCCCAATTGACAATGACTGTGGTTTGATGCTATTGACTGCGGTTGAATGCAATTGACTGCGGTTGACTCTAACAATAATCTCTTACTTGGCCTTCTCCAGGGCAATCTCGGCTTCAAACCGATCGCGCCACTCTGTGAATGTCTCCACTGTCACAGGTAGACCGTGCGGCTCTATCACCTGACAAAGCGGCAGTCAGATGCAGGCAAGCAAGCGAGAGAGACAGAAAGAGACATGCGGTCACAAGCCGGGAAACAAAAGAAAGAAATGCATTTCAAAGAAACGGCCTCTGTGACTGTCCTTAACACTCACCAGCAACCCGTGTGGCTCAAATACCTGGTAGAGGAGAGGTGTGGAGGGAAGGTGGAAGGGAGAGGAGAGAGAGAGGGCGACCGGTCACAGCGCCGGCCCCTCCTCCTCCACCTTCTCTCCCTTTTCTCTCCACACGTTACCAGTGTGCTACCTCTGCTTCTTTTGGAGCTTGTAACCCAACGCACCTCCTCTTTTGCCACCTCCCCTTCCTAATCCTGCACTCCTCGATATTCACATCCCCCCCCTCTCCCTCTCTCCTCTAACTCGCTCTGTCCTTAACGTGCAAACTTACCTCCTCCTTCTCCTCCTCCTCTTCCTCCTCCTCCACTCCAACGTACTTCTCTCTCAGCCACTCCTTGGCTGACGTGGCGAGTGTGTACATCATGGCCATCCCAAGGTTCTCCTCCGCCTGTGCGTGAGGAGGCATGGAACATGGATTGAGACATAGAGGGATAGCGGCACCGATGGAATGGGGTGGGGACATGGGGCCATGGGGACATGGGGCCATGGGGCCAGGGGGCCAGGGGGGCGTGGGGACATGGGGCCATGGGGCTATGGGGGTGTGGGGACATCATTGCAATGATGCCCAGAGGGTACATGTACAGTACACTACATCGTTAAAAGGAGAAAACATGAGAAGATAAGATATTGACAACACTGGCAAGATTTGGGATGCGAGAGGCATAAACGGGTAATGACACGATTGTCTGTCTCGCATTGAGCGTCGTCGAATCCAGTGTGAAAAGCATTGCCCTGCCCAGATTCCAGGCTCGCAGGCTCGCTTCAACCAGGCAATAAGCAGAACAAACCTTGATGAAAAAATAAACACGAGGTAGCGTTGAGAGTTACTGCAAGGTCATTGTACAAGGAATGACAAGACATGCCTTAACAATAAAAAACCCATGCATAATGATAGTTTTTTTATGGCATAAAATGTAGTAGTGAGACGAAAACAAGTAGATTGTAGAGGAAACAAGCAAGTGGCAGGGCGTCAGATGCACTTCTGGTTCCATCACACTCCCGGCACACGCCCCTCTTTGCACGCACGCCACCACACACCGGTGATGCGACGCACAAAGGAGGCAATGTGCTTAAATCGAAGTGTTGCTTCGATGAGTGGGCTGCGGGAGATGCGGTCTCGGCCGATGCAAATGGATGCGGTGCGGTGGTGAGTGGTGAGAAGCAGAACGAGAGTGGTGCTGATGGTATGATGGTGATGATGATGCTAATGCAAATGATTTGGCTCGAGCCCATCCCTCTCTTTTTTTTCCATCATTCGCCCTTTGAGCACTTGGAAAACTGCAAATATGGCTCAAATGCAGGTGGCATAGGAACAACTCAGTGAGAAAAGGCCCATAGAAACAAGTCTGATGCAGCCACGGACGACAGAAACAAGTGACGCAAAACAAAAGAGTATGCATATACCACTTTGTATGAGACATAGCCATCCATATAATAACACGGGTCGTAGAACGATCAGAACACAAGGAAAAGGAAGAAAATATTGTGCAGAGAAAATCCATTGTAACCTGACCTCTTCCTTGAGTTTGTTGTGAATCTCCTCAAGATCGACGGCTCTCACTCCTTGTAGGCTGCACGGGGCTTACGAAACAACAGAAACAAGAAGATTGGAGGAGGGCCGTTGTGGTCTCACCTCTTCCTTCAGTTTGTTGCGAATCTCCTCAAGATCGACAGCTCTCACTCCTTGTAGGCTGCACGGGCCACACCATGAAACCCCACACCGTGCCATGCCATGCAATTCCACATACACAATATGATCCGTGAGCATGCTGGCAGAATCAGTTCATGCCTATCAGAACGTGAATGAAACACCAGGAAAAAGACCACCTGGAATAATGTGACCGACCAGCAATAAAACCAACTGCCATAGAATCACGTTTGATTGAATCACCTTCGCAAGCTGAGAAGCGGTGGCTCATCGGGGTAGGTGGGTGTGTGAGCAAAGTAGAGAGCCAGCCGCACTGCCAAAAAGGGGAGGGCGGGGTGGGGTCGGGGTGGGGTGGGGGGGGGGGGGTGAGACGGGGATGGAAGAGGGGACGAGGAGGAAAGAGAAAAGAGAGGAGGAGAGCTGAACACAGAAAAGCGGGTTGAGAGCAGATTTAAATGACCGGGGAAGTCAGCCAGCCCAGGCCTTCTTATTATACAGCATGGACTCACATGCTTACATTGAAAGAGTGCTACACTTTCTTACATGACATACGGCACATGGCACACGGTACACACACGGCACATCGCACATGGCACACGGTATACAGCACATTGCACATGGCACACGGTATACAGCACATTGCACATGGCACACGGTATACAGCACATTGCACATGGCACACGGTATACAGCACATTGCACATGGCACACGGTATACAGCACATTGCACATGGCACACGGTATACAGCACATTGCACATGGCACACGGTATACAGCACATTGCACATGGCACACGGTATACAGCACATTGCACATGGCACACGGTATACAGCACATTGCACATGGCACATGGAGCGAAGGAGGCACCTGGAAAAGGTGTTGTCTCTTCCTCGTCGTCCCCCTGTTCACATCAGCACGCACAAACACAATCCCACCGTGTGTCAGAAAAGAGAACAACCACTGCAATGCTTGAGAGAAGAGAAGACCCCAAAGGCAACACGCACAACCATGACCCCATCCCACCTTTCAAAATCTTTAATGCTGGGAACATCATAAGCTGCGCCATTAAACAAATGGCTTGCATGCCACCGAAAATGAAACCAAGGCCAGTTACATTGGTTGGTGTCAATTTTGTCAACCATGTTAAATGGAAACATCACATCGCCTTCACATAATCAGGCCAACACAACCATGTTGTCATTTCCGTAGCGGAAAGATCAGGACATGGTGGTCTAATCTGATATCGTGCCATGGCACAGCATGGCATGTCATGGCATGTCATGGCATGTCATGGCATGTCACCAAGCATCACCATTACCTTAGGCAATGTGGTGACGTGGGAGCATGGAGTGGCATAGCATGGCACGAGTTGACATGTCCTTCAATTTTGTAGAATATCAGAAGCAAATGCATCACATTACCTTGGGTGATATTGTGATGAGGTAGCATGGCTTATTCGCTGGCATGCCCAGGCCTGATGTGTCGTCCACCCCTGCAGAGCACGCATGGGATGACCACCCGGGAATTGGGGGGGGTTGGGAAGGAGTTAAAACACTAGCAGAGCAACCTTGCATCCAGTTTGAGGGGGCAGCAGGGAGGGGGGAAGGGAGCAGGGAGGGGGAAGGTAGCAGTAGGGAGGGGGGAAGGGAGCAGGGAGGGGGAAGGTAGCAGTAGGGAGGGGGGAAGGGAGCAGGGAGGGGGAAGGTAGCAGTAGGGAGGGGGGAAGGGAGCAGCGTGAAGGGGGAAGGGAGCGGAGCAGCAGGGAGGGGGGAAGGGAGCAGGGAGGGGGAAGGTAGCAGCAGGGAGGGGGAAGGGAGCAGCGTGAAGGGGGAAGGGAGCGGAGCAGCAGGGAGGGGGAAGGGAGCAGCAGGGAGGGGGAAGGGAGCAGCAGGGAGGGGGAAGGGAGCAGCAGGGAGGGGGAAGGGAGCAGCAGGGAGGGGGAAGGGAGCAGCAGGGAGGGGGAAGGGAGCAGCAGGGACGGGGGAAGGGGGCAGTAGGGAAGGGGGACGGGAGCAGCAGGGAGGAGGAAATGGAGAATAAGGAGGGATCGTGGCATTCGGCCAAACAAAGGGACTCACTTTCAAACTCGTCCATGAGGATCGCCTCTAGCGCCTCCACCTCCATCTGCTGCTCTCCCTCGTAGTCTGTGGAGCCGGGGCATGGGGCAGAGAGAGGGGCGAGGGGAGGGGAGGGGAGGGGAGGGGAGGGGAGGGGAGGGGAGCGGGGGGAAGGGGAGGGGGGGGAAGGTAGCGGGTGTTATTGCTGCGCCCTTCCAACACCCTCCACCTCCATCTGCTGCTCGCCCTCGTAGTCTGTTGTGGGGGGGCAACGACGGGGCAGCACACCAGAGGAAAGAGGTGCGAGGGGAGGGGAGGGAAATCAAGTCGAGCACAGCTGACCAGATCAGACACCCTGGGTTGACCAGACACCCTGGGTTGACCAGACACCCTGGGTTGACCAGACACCTTGGGTTGACCAGACACCTTATTACCACAGATCTGAGCTGATTGGATGTCCACGACGAGGAAAAAAAATCTGGATTTGCATGTCGTTATCGCCATCTCCATCACCATCACCACCATCACACCATCACCATTATCACACCATGACCATCACACCATCACCATTATTATCACCATCACCATCACCATCACCACCATCATCACCTGTCATCGTGGCAAAACCACGCTACGTGATGCCAATGGGTTGATAATAGAGGTGAGAGCGATGGTGCTGCTGCTGCTACGCTCCACAGGGCCTGGCCTGCCTGCCCGCCTCTTGAGCCGCCTCAAAAGTCGTTTTTTTTTTTTAAAATATAAAAAAGAGCCCGCGGTTAACCACAGGGCCTGCCTGCTTGCAATGGGTGTGGAGAGGGTTTGAAAGGAGACATAGCGGAGTCGACTCACTGGGAGCGGGCAAAGCGATTTGAGCATCCAGACCATTATGGAGTCGAAAAGACGAATCAGGATAGCAGAAAGCGGCTGAAGCACCTGCTGTTGAGTTGGCTCGAATGGGGCAGGCAACAATGGCAACAATTCTTCAACTACAAAACTCTTGTAGTCGGAAGTGTGCGAAAAGGCAGACGCAGCGGAATTGAGAGGTATGGGAGAAGGAAGAGGAGTGTGAGGAAAGGAGGGAGAGGAGGGAGAGGAAGGGGACGGAGAGGAAGGGGAGGGAGGGGGGTGAGGGGGGAGAGGGAGTATGGGAAGGAATTCAGGAGGGGAGCGATGGCAGGAATGGAGGGACGGGAGGAGGGAAGGGACGCGAGGGGGAAGGGACGGGAGGAGGGGAGGGAAGGGACAGGAGCGCGAGAGGGGACAGGAGCGCGAGAGGGGACAGGAGCGCGAGCCCATGGGGGTTATATTCCAAGTCCTAAGAGAGTACAGGGGGGATGAAAACAGTGACCCACGGAGGTAGATGGCACAGAGAGAACGCAGGGGAGGTGGGGAGGGGAGGATATGGAAAGGAGGGAAAGGATGGAAACGGGGCGACGAGAGAGAACGAGGGGGAAGGGCGACGGTGAAACAGAGAGAGGGAACAGTGGACGGTAAATGATCGGAAAGGAGAGAGCGAAAGAGATCACAGTAACGTATTTCGAGATTGGGAAGCCGCTACTGACCTGATCCCCGTCAAAAACGTCCTCGATACCACGCTGGGTCCAATGCGTCGTGTTTCGAGGAGTCTAAAACCCGGAGTCGCGGTCGGGCGATCGGTTCCGACCTAATATTTGCCCGCTTTGTCCCAGTTGACCGTCGCGATCGGAACGTTATTTTGACGCGTAACCGCTGTCGCTTCGGCACAGGACCCCAGGGGACTCCTGCTGGATACTAAGATTCCCGATGGGAGTGGTTATTCTCTGCTGGTGTTTTCCTTACTGCACTGGGGATTGCCTTCCTGTGTGACAGTGCACAGCATCTTGCGAATGTGGTGCGATGGGTTGAACGAAAAGTCAGGTAACTTTGGCGAACAAGCGACACTCGCCCAGCAATTTTTACCCTCCACAAATTCGCGAGCCGGTTTCCAAACCAACCTTCCAAGCCTTCAAACCTGCACACCAACATCATCAGAAGAGAAGGAACACGCAGTTAGATCCTCACGTGCTCACCTTAGCGCAGCTTTCCCTAACTTCGTTCTACAAGTCAGTCTTCTCCACAGGTCACCTGTAAAGGCCACAAGTCTTAGCTGCTCTTTCGTTTCCCAGTTGAATATGGAGCATTCGACGCTGGAACGAATTCGAGACAAAGCCAAAAGGAAGTTAAAGTGAGGGTCGTTCGATGCATCTGTAAGCTCCCTGCTGTGTTGATAGCTTTGCACATCTGAGCACCCCCTCTTCCCGCAGGTTGCTTCATAATCTCAAACCTTCTACATCTCTACCGTCAGAGGTTGGTTTCACGTGTTACACGTGTTTAGAGCACACGTGTGACATGCGCTTATGCTCTCCTCTTACAGGAGAATGTCAGCTTGTCGACGCCTTCTCCATCTCGTGGGCCGGTGTCCAAGAAAAAACAAAAGTTTTCAAGTCCATTACCCGCGAATCTGGCACCCACGCCGCCTGCCGTCTGCAAGTAATCAGCTCGCTGTTCTGTCTTTCGCAGCACCGCTTACTCCTAACCTTTTCCTGGATCCCCCAGAGAATTCACGGAAGTGAGAACGTGCATGGCTGAAAAGACAAAACGGTTAACTGCGTCTCAGACAGTGACTCGCCATCCGAGCGATCTTTCGATATCTAACACGTTGGACATTCAGGTTGGATTCTCTCATGATTTTCGCATTATGTTTCCAAAAGTATGTCTCACTTGCTCGTGTACCAGAGGATGAAGGTTCCAGTTGGTCTTGTGGAAATGGAGCCTCCGACCAGCTTGATTGGTCAAAAGACGTCGGTGCTTATTGGTAAGAGCCTCCCAGGTTATGACATTGCTAAAGGACCTGTGAGAGACATATTGACTTCGACCTTTGCCAGATCGTGCACCTTTCAAGCCAACGCCAACTACAGACGAACTTGCTTCACTTGTCCTTCCTGGATCCGCTAAACTTCTTAGGGCGCTGTTTCTTCCTGCTGTTTACAATGTGGATGCTGGGTGTCAGAGAGCTGGACTAGCCATCCTGTTGGATGAGCCATCAACCACGAGTGACAGGTGAGTTGAGTTGATTGTTGTCATTCCAAACTCAAATCATGCGGACCTCAAACGCCGCTGTGTGGAATGCAGAAACTGGTTCTCTGGCATAAATGAGATGCTACATTTTCCTAGCAAAAGCAAAAGTGAACACACTGGTGAAGTGTTGCCTGATATTAGAACTCAAGCTGTTTTTCTGGATACACAAGCTTCACGTATGGGAGATTTGACCGATGACCAAGGCCACGCCGAAGTGATTGAGACTGGAGCTTGGAAAGCTTATAAAAGGCAAGTTTCTGACTTTTGTTCAGCTTGCTCCAGCAAAGAGCACATGAATGCAGAAGTAGCACTCTGGCTGCGTGCAGATGGTGGATTACTGGAACTAATCTAGGAATAGCTACAAAAGCTTCAGCTGTCACTTTGACGAAATGTGTGCAAGGATTTATTTAAAACACCATCATTAACCTTCACCCTTAAACCCTTGAACATCGCTTAAAACTCTGCCACTTCGCTAAAACTCAGGAGGGAGAGGAGGGTAAGGAATGTAAGGAGGGCGAGGAGGTAGTGGAGGGTGAGAGAGAGGAGGGTGAGTATGGGAGGGTGAGAAGGGAGAGGGGGGTGAGGGAGAGGAGGGAGAAGAGGGTGAGGTGAGGGAGAGGAGGGAGGGAGAGGAAGGGGAGGGAGCGGAAGGTGAGGAAGGGGAGGAAGAGGAGGGTAGGCACGGAGAGGGAATAGGTGAGAGAAGCGAGGAGGGGAGGGACAGGCGGAAGGAAGTGATGAAAGGAGGGGAGAGACGGGAGAAGGGAGGGATGAAAGGAGAAGAGGGACGAGAGAGGGAAGGGACAGGAGGCGGGCAGACAAGAGGAGCGCAAGCTCGTGGTGCTAAAATCCCGCATGTCAAATACGATATCCTGCTTCTATTGAACTTCTACCCCGGACCTTGTAAGGATGAACGCTGATTCGGAAGTCCATATGAAGGAAACCCTAAAGCAAAAGAGCTGATCGTATGGCAGCAGCAGAGAATGAGGATGCTGTTGGAAATAATAGTTCCTAAGCGCCTCTGTCGTGTCGAAACACTAAGGCACAAGCGAGGCAAAGCATATCGAGGCACCAGCGAGTCAACCCTCGGAGGTTGAAGTAACCGCTGGAGGTTACTCGAAAGTCAAAGGTCAGTGACCTTTGACCTGACAAATGCAGCGCGACAGCAAGGACACACAACTGACTCGTTACAGAGCAGTTGCCCGAGTCGTCACTGTATCGAACCGCAACAGCAACAGTAAAGTAGTTACAACCGTGTCTCTTCATATTCTCTGTATTCATATATAATCTTGTATCTCTTTGCTTTAATCAATTCACTTTGCCCTCACATACTAGCGCAAGGTGGTTCACAAACTCTTTATTAAGACGCTTCCGCTACTACATCAACTCTACCCAGAATTCACCTCTGCAAAGATCCTAAGGGCTTTTTCAGCCCAACATGGTATGAGAGCTATCAGGGGGAATTCGACTTATATACCAACAGTGTCAATCAGCATGGCTACACAAAAGGGAAGGAGCAACTCTAACGGATCCCAGGACACTACTCCTACTCCACCTCCTGCCTCTGGCCTACAGACAGAGGAGGGCACTGCAACAAGACCCAGAGCAACATCTACTGAGACTCCCGCAAATCATCCTGCGGACTTCGACCAGAGCATGATGGAGAAGTTCTTCTCCTTCATGTCCTTCTACGAGCAACACCAACAATCGGCACCTGCGCAATCACACAACAGCAACAACAACGGAGCAACACCCATGAGTCTCGACGGCTCATCGTATGCACGAGGAAATCAGCAACAACAGCCTACCTTTGCTCCGTACGAGCGCGGATCCATCAGCTTCATGCCACACCCACAGCCCTCACCTGTACAAGAAAAACTACTGGACGCACTACAAGTTCAGTCGCAGTTCGCACATGTTCTGAAGATGCAGACGTTAAGACCTTTCGATGGAAAGAATTTCTTCACCTGGTCGTTCGAGTTTGAGCTGATGATGGAAGGCGTGCAGATACTCGGGTTCTTCGACGGGTCCCTGCCATACCCAACAAACGGCACACAGTACGAAAAGCAGCAGTACACCTATCAGTCAATGATGGCGTACACGATCCTACTGAGAAATATCACCCCGACTCAACAGCAGAACATAAGGACTTACCGAGGTTACGGTAACTCCGCGGAGCTCGTGTACAACCACCTGAAAAGCCTGTATCAAGCAACAGACAGTGTAAGTTAAAGTCGGTTAATGGCACAACTGACAACGGTTGAAATGAAACCAGGGGAGAAAGGAATGGCGTATATCAGTCGATGTCGCGAATTGCGCGACAAGCTTCTTCGATGCGGAGGGTCGATTTCTGAAAACGCCTTCGTGACAGTCATCATCGGCGGCCTCGGTCCTCAATGGCGCGCCACAAAAGCCATCCTCCGAGCTCACGGAAGAATCTCCGAAGCAGCGCTCTGCGCCGAAATCCATGCCGAGCAGCAAGACATGGACCTGCAAGAAGAACGACACAGAAAGAAGACTTCAGCACCAGAGTTCGCGTTCCACACCGAGCGACGCTACAACAACAACAACAACCGGCAGCAACAGCTGAAGTCAGTACATCCGTTCTGCCACATCTGCAAAACTTCAGGACACCCGCGCACGCACTGCCCGAATCGTCAACAATCAACAACCTCGCAGCGACAACTTCGGCCTTCAAGCAGCCAAGTCGCCTCAACGCAGACAAATCCTACGACTCAGATTCAAGCTTCAAAGACTTCAACAGGACAACCTGCACAAGAAGCAAGAAACATCGTCAACTGCATGACAAAGATAACAGACTCCTGCATCACCGAGTCACCACCACACTACTCACCGGAAGAACAACTCAACGAAACCACACCCCGCCGCGAGTCACTTCAGCCGAACCCGACATACGCCGCCATCGCTCAAAGCGAACCATCCGGAAGGGACACTTGGTTCTTGGACAGTTGCTGCGGACAGCACATGTGTTCCTCAGGACGCTTCGTTCAACGAGAACACCAGCTTCAACGCGAAGTCGTCATTACAGTCGCCAACAACCAAAACCTACGAACACGACGACAAGGCGTAGTTCAACTTCAGTCAAGGGAAACAAACGTCGTACTGCAGATGTCAAATGTACTAATCGCGGAAGGACTCGGCTACAACTTACTGAGCGTTAGCCAGCTGATGGCGAAGGGGATTCATCTCGAAGAAGACAGTACCACTCAAGAATTCAAGCTGTATCACGGGAGAGGAGGACTCTACATCGGCAGGGCGGTCCTCAGGGACAACGTCTTCGTTCTTGATTTCGTCCCTGACCTTGGCACTGCCGACAGCGACGCCATCGTCAACTTCACCGACTGGACACACTCTCCGGACCTTGATCCAGACTTCAGTCCAGAAGGCTTCTGGTACTCACACACCATCCCTGAAGAAAAAAGAACAAGGGCGTTAGCAACAATCCAGACAACATCGGCAACAGGAGAAACAACATCGGCAGCAGCAGAAACAACATCGGCAGCAGCAGAGACAACATCGGCAGCAGCAGAGACAACATCGGCAGCAGCAGAGACAACATCGGCAGCAGCAGAACCATCAACGGCAGCAGCAAGAATGTCAACATCGGCTGCTGGTCCTTCAACGACACCACTCCTCATCGACGACACACCACCAACACCAGCGCAACAACTGCACCCAGGACCATGAGAGGTTCATCGTAGCACCAACTTCACCGCCAGCTTCTACTCCAACTCCGACATGTACCGACGATCACCCGGACATCGCGCCAACGAAAGCACCTGGCACGCACGGTTGGGACACCCAAGCAACACAGTATTAAACAATACAATAAGAGCAGGAGTACTTGAAAAGGACTCACTCCTACTAACCGACGGACGAGAACTTCAACGAGCGCGAGGAACGTGCTTCATCTGCCCTGAAGGCGACTTACCGCATCGACCATTCGCGTCACATCACAACCCAAGCGCTCCCGCGTACGCACCACTCAAGAAGGTGTATAGCGATATCTTGTTCAATCGGGAACCAGGACAAGTCACATACAACTACACGATCACCTTCATCGATGCCGCCACCCGTTACGTCTGGCACCTAAACCTACCCAGCCGCGACATGGCATTTGCAGCCTTCGTTGCCTGGCTACCAGTAGCAGAGAGAGAGTCGGGCGTACAACTGAAAAGCTTCCAGTCAGACGGAGGAGGAGAATACACCTCTCAGCGGTTCAAGCAGTACCTGGCGGAAAGGGGAATCAAGCAGCTCATCTCCCTTCCCTACGCCCATCAGCAGCAAGGAGTAGTAGAGAGAATGAACAGGACCCTGCAGAACACCATGCGCAAACTGCTACGTGGCATGCGGCTACCCAACCACCAATGGCCTGCAGCAATGGACCACGCTGTCATGCTGCACAATTTGCTGTCGTCGTCATCGCTTCCGAACAACGCATCACCGCATCTGCTATGGACAGGGAAACAGGGCAGCACAAAAATGTTACGAGTTTTCGGGTGCATGGTACACTACCGACCCCCAGCAGCACGAGCGGGCCGATTTTCCCAACGAGCACAGTGGGGACTACACCTGGGCATCGAAAAGAACTACAACGCGTGGAAAATCTTTGACGTCCACTCAAAGGAAACAGTAGCAGCACGTGACGTAATTTTCCATGAACGACTCACGCTCCAGACTACCTTGCCAGCTTGCAAGAAGACGAAGATCCCACAGGTGGCCTTCGTGGTGACCGAGCCTTCGCCTCAGCAGCGGACGAAGCAGACTGGGACGAGCAGAATGTGGACAACGCATCAGAAGAAGCCGAACCTCTTCCGTTCTGCTCCGTCAATTTCCTATGGACGAAGACAACCCTCGCAAAACTACCAACGACGAAACCTTCTACCACTTTGCCGACAACGGTTACGTAACACCTGCGACAGTCAACACCAACGAAGCAGAACGAGTAGGACCAAATTTCATACCTGATCCAGAAACGGGAGACGAAGCAGCTTATCCCGAGGATGTAAATCTTCCCCGCTACTCACAGAGTGGACTGCAGATCCTCGGGCTCGTTACCGCAGTCCACGGCTCCGTCGTTCCTAAAGAGCTTGCGACGGTTCAGCAGGCTCTGGGGGGGGGACATAAAGAAAAATGGCGCGAAGCCATGGACAAGGAGCTGAAGGCACTGGAGGAACGCAAAACGTGGAAGGTGGTTCCTATCGGTGTGGCACGTGTCAGAATGTTATCTTATGCTATAGCCTGTAGTGGGGTGCTCTATAGCGAGTACAACCCTTCTAGGGTTTCCTATTTGTATCCCCATTCTTGCTAGTGCAGTCCTCTTCTTTCTTCTAAATTATCACATGCTATCAGAGCAGGTCGATCCCCTTGGATCGATCCTGTGGGTGGACTTACCACCTCGTTGCTTCCGCTGCAACTCCTACTGCTACTGCTATCACTACTCTCTGTGCCGCACGCCCCGTGGCGTGCGGCAGTTTTCCATCCCGCCGTGCGCCCCGAGGCGTGCGGCGGGTTATTGCCCCGTCACGCCGCGCGCCGCTCCCGGGAGGCGCGGCGACGGGCGACGGGGACCTCCGCGTCGCCCCCCGTCGCTCGTCGTGGCCTGCGCGCGGCCCGTACAGCCTGCGCACGGCACGTACGGGCCGCGCCAGACCCGTCCGCGGCCCGTACGGGCCGCGCCAGGCCTACGCGCGACCCGTACGGGCGGCGCCAGGCCCGCGCGCGGCTTGGGCCGCCTGCGCGCGGCTCGGGTGACCCTACCTGCGGCCCTAGCCCCGGCCTCGCCGCCCTACCTGTGGCCCCGTCGTCCCGTCGCCCTACCTACGGCCCGGCTCCGTCGCCCTACCCACGGCACCGCCCCCCCCCCCCCCCCCCCCCCCCCCCCCCCCCCTTTTCCCGTCGCCCGTCGCGGC